TTTTTTCTGCTCATAAAAATACATACAAAACTGTTACACTTTTATCTAAACACATACAAAACTTGTACAGTACACTATGTAAGCCTAAACATTTACCATTCTCATTCTCTCGTTTTTGCTCGTCCTCCTTCTCTCTTGAATCTCTTCCCTCTCTCTCCCTTCTCTCTTTCCTTTCTAGTCTCTACCCAACCCATTCGGAAGGAGACTAGACGAGCTCGGGAGGGATGTGGATGGTAGGATATACCTCAATCATGATGTGAGGATTCCCGAGCCGTTCACTCGCCAGATCATGGACGCTCACTGCCACAGGGATACAAAGAAATAATATTGTGGCCCATATCCAAAATAATTTGAGTTCAGACATGGATCCGCTTGCTTTAGAATCATCATTGCAGTTTACGATTCTTGACCGATCATAAAGCAAACGGATCCATGTCCGCACTCAAATTATTTTTAGAAAAAAAATTTACATATTCAGAAACTACATTAAAAACTTTACACAGTCGCAAAAAAGATCAAATTTGATAAAAACAATTGATAAATAGAGTAAGAGATTAAAAGTGATTTGTGTTGACCAAGTGAATAGGAATTGGGACAATCCTAGCAGGATGAAGGGAACAATATTCTTGGAAAAAGGTCTAGGATTGTACTTGTTAAGGGCTACAATTCGATATGTAGTACACTCAAAACGGATAACGGGTAAGTGAATGAGAAATTGATTCTCGAAGTTCACTCGTTGAAACGGAAAAACTGGGGAAAATGATGGGTTTCTAGTAGGATTTATCCCACACCAGAAAACCCAAGGGATTTTCACCCCTTTATAACGAGAACTCTCTTTGAAGGAGTTAAGATTCCTACGGGGAAAGGCTCTCTTCGCGCGGGAAGGGGGGGGGGGTGCCGATCAAATCCCGAAAACGGAGAAGAAAAACCGCGACTCGTGTGCGTGGGCGACCTGCGGACACGAATGTTGTCCGAAAATCTTTCATTCACAGATATGATTTAATTTTTGTTTCTTCCCGTAACGTTTTGTTTTTTCCCAGAACCAGAAATGCTCAGTGGCAGAACTGCTCTGGACCAGAAGACCTGAGAGGGAGAAGACCACAGGGGAGTTCTGGTGGCTTCAACAGAAGACCAGATAGCAGTTCTGGTGGGGGTATTCTGGTCGTGCACCAAAACTGCTCCAAGCCGTTACACCCTTTAAATGCCCAACGTTCTTATCTTTTAATGCTTCTTTAAATGGACAGTTTTCGACATATTAATGCCCAACATGTTGGACATTTATGTGCAACGTTCAGGTCCATTAAAGCTCAGTTAACACACCAAAAATCCTCCTATAAATAGTTGGCATGTGCTTTGCAACAAACTCACGTTCTTACACGTTCACAAGCAATCTGCACATAGTTTTAGCTCTAAAAACACTTCCAGCTACTCCGAAAATTTCCTAAGTGTTCTAGCTTGTTCTTGTTCTCCGGAACTTTCGTTTGTGTTCTCAAACGTTAGTTCGTTTGCCACCGTATCCTGGGAAACAGTCGTTGCAACACTCCTAGCACCGTGGGAGGCGACGAATACGTTTTAAGGACATCGTGGGTTGCACGAGCTCTGGCTAATTTCTGCTTCTTCTATTTCTGTTTTTCTTTAGTCATTTTAATTAATTAAGTTTTAGGAAAAATTGATTGTAATAATCCCAACTATTGGCGGTCCACTCATAATAATCCCAACTATCAATGATTTCAGAATAATCCCAACTTTAGGGACCTTCTGCCAATAATGGTCCGACGTGACCGACTATAAATAAATTCCTATAGTTTCTAAAGAGATATAGCAGGTAATCCCTATAAAGAATCCCAAATTTTAATTTTTACGCTTAATTTCTATTAAAAATTCACTTGTTAGGATAGGTAATATGCGGTCATGGACTATTATTGTCGGACGGTCCATATAGTTGGGATTATACAAAAATAATCAATAGTTGGGATTATTGTTAGCGGATCGGCAATAGTTGAGATTATTATTTTCAATTTTCCAAATTTTATTAATTATTTTATTTGTTTTCGAAACACACCCTACATACCCAACCCATTCGGATATCCAAAAGAAGATTGAATCATCTTCTTCTCTTTTTCATCCCCTCTTCCTTTCCCTATCCTCTTCTTCTCTAGTTTTTTATATTCAATTTTTTCCATTACTTGCACAAAATCAGCTATTTATCTATTTTCATCTATGTTTATTATCTTTTCATTTTTTATCAAATTACATGTAAATTGATCACACATACAACTATATCATTCACTTGCACATTTATAGACAATTAAATATTTTGTTCACTCAGACAATAAAATTGATCACGCAGAAAACTAAAGTAGATCACACAAACAACTATTGTCAGTGAGATAACTTAATTATTATTAAAACCGTTAACCAGATACAAATTCGCCATAACAAAGGCTACACTGGGGTGAGACTCAAAGTTGAAATCACGCTTAATAGCGGTCTAACTCGCTAACCCCGCAAATTAGTAGACTCCCTTAACAGCATTGCTGGACCTACTACTAAAAGGTAATGCAAAAATAAAAGAGTTTTGAGACGAAGAAGAAACATAAAATGAACATAATCCAGTTTTTCCGGCCACTGGCAAGGAGCTGAGACATCGGTTTGTCCAGCCCCCACCAAAGGATCTGAGCGAGGCTCCTCTCCCTGCTGCCCAACCCCTGAATCGCAAAAGTCCACTTCCGTTCTTGCTGGAATTACTTCGCCCTCAGCCACTTCAATCACTTCCTTTCCCTCGGAAATTAGCCCTTCGATCGTGTAACTGCCGTGATCCACCGTGATAGTCCTGGCCAAATTGCTCCCACTAGTTCAACCCTCACGTCGAACGCTGGAATTGCCTCTACTAGAGATCAACCACTTATTGAAACGGATACACAACGCGTCTTCTCATATCTGTACGTAGCCATGTCCCATGTGGCATCTCTTAATCCCAAGTCCAGTAATAATATTAGATGGACAAAGACGGTCTATATGTCCCAAAACCCCACATAAAAAGCAGAACTTTGGAAGTCTCTCATATCAAAGATCCGTCCAAATCCAAGTATCATCATCATCATGTTTGACCTTCAATCTCCCAGTCAAGGCATTATTAACATTTATCATTAAGAATTGATCTCCATTTCCCACCAAGAGTGCGTTCGCCAACCTGAACAAAAGACCCTATATTGTTTCCAATTCCTCGAGCAGCTTTAAATGTCATGTAATTGATATGGAGATTATGCGCTTGTACCCAAAAGCCAGCCTGCTCCAAAGACACCTCAAGAAGTCTATCTATTCGCTCTAACCTCCTAATGACCACTAAATTTTGATCAAAAGACCAAGGCTCGTCTTCGATAACGCGGCTAAAATCTCCTTCATGGTAGAATTGAAGTAAAAATTTAGAAATATCAAGATCTTGAATGGTGACTCCTCCAACCGACTTCCACACCATGATCATTGTTTCGGGGAAAGCAATTGGGCGAATAGATTTATCCGTTAACACCCATTCCACCTCAAAGAAACACACACCTATCAACCCCATTGACATCCCCATCGGATAATTTGCTATAATTCGCAACAAGACTAACCATAGTTTTATTAACACTGTCTCACAAACACAACAACCAAATTGAAAAGCACAAAAAACAAAAGCCAAACAACAAAACTCTAACCAAGAGCGCTAACTCCCTCGGCAACAGAGACACCCGATGAACAGGCAACAAAACAGAGAGCAGCGAAAACAACACAACTCACAACCCACTATCAAAACAAGTAGGCAACATGCATCAGGAGCACCCATCCTTTGACAGAATGAAACCAGCAATCAAAACAGAAACTGTTCATAAAGAAACTGTTGGGATATTGATCCAGAGGCCCAATACCCGGATCAAACAGGCCCAGGATATCCGGCCCAAACAATGAGTCCATTACTCTATGATGAGTAGATCCAGTGAAGAACTAATACCGAACGGGGTTCGGTCCAAGTAAAGGCCGGCCCAGAAAGAAGATATACCAAACGGCGTTCGGACCATATATCATACTTGGGCCAATTTGGCAGCGTCTTCAGCATGGTCCAACATCCCGTTCGAGCAACGGACAACCAGCAAGTGGCCAGGTGCAATTAATGCCATATTGTGACATCAGCAAGTGGAAACATGGGTGATCAAGTCGGTGGAACGACGGTCAATCAACATAGAGCAGCCCATGCTCTCCATTAGTATAAATAGAAGGTTTAAAATCATTGTAAGGGTTAGCATTTCAATACTCAGGCTCTAGAATAGCATTATTACTCTTGTTTCTTGTATTAAAGCATTATTCCGACCTACCGATCGGGAATTTCCTTGTAATCAGACAGGTTAATTAATACAAGTGAGCTTTTGGGTATTAGTGAGTTCATATTTTATATTTTATTATACACTTTGATTCTGGTCCATTCCTGATATATCCAAAGTTCGTGTTGGGCTTTCGGATCTACGAGACTTACCTTCAACAGAAACGTAGAAGAACTTGGACAAAAGTGAAGGCTCCAGACCAAAGACGGGATCAACAACCCACATACCAAAATCTAATTAAGAACAAGGATGAACAAAAGCAAAGAACGATAAAAAAACCAGTTACCGTAGAATTGGAGAGCCAGAGATAGCGATTATCAGCTTAGCTTTACCGCAAAGGATCAATCGATCTCAAATTGGCGGCTCCCCAGGGTACCGCCGCTAGGGTTCACATCTCGATCGCTGTCTTATGTTTTAAAATTTTGATTGCATAGCTCAAGTTAAAAAGCACTACTTTTTCTGCTCATTGATCTCTTAAAATTAACCTATATATGTAATTTCACCTCGGCACCATTTCACCACTTCACCTCCCATCCAGGGGCGGAACCACCCTAGGGCTAGGGGGTGCCCGTGCCCCTCCATTGATATTTTTTTATTATATATATTATTATTAAATTATTAATTTTTATTAGTTGAGCCCCTGCAGCCAGCAGTCCATCCCTTTCCCTTGTCTACCCGGCCCAATCCCCTTTCTCAGCCTCAAGCTCTAGAGCCTCAAGCCCTAAAGCTCAACAACCCAATTCCCGTACCCCTTTCCCAATTCCCGTTCGGGCTTCCTCTTTTCCCGATTCCCTTTCGCCGTTCCCTTTCCCAAATCCCAATCTGCGCTTCAGGGGAGTCCAGCGCTCCGCACAGCCGCACTCAACACTCAAGAGTCAAGCCAGGAAGGCAGGAACTCCCAGCAGGCACTCCGCACTCCAGGCAGCGACCACAGTTGACAGTTCCCGACTTGCCGAGTTGCTGCCGCCGACCGCCGGTATGTTTTATTTATTTTTTTAATTGTTGATGAAATGATGAATGATTTATGCTTCATTGCTTTGTATATGTTGTGTGACTTATGGTTGAATACTTGAATAGTTGAAAAATTATACTCATATTATTTCAATTGTAGTTGGTCTGGGTTGTTTGACAAACAATCGCTATGTTAGGATATTTTTCGTCAATTCCGCCGAAACCGAAACAGCCTATCATTGGTGGTTCTTCATCGAATAATTGACAGATTGCTTGGTGTGTTACATTGAGAAAGATGTATTTGTTAAAATTGAGAATGAAGTCATAATGAAGCGATTTCAGAGTACGACACCTCGAAGACAAAGATTGCCGCCTCTCAATGATTCTCCTTCATTTGATGCGTCAGGTTCTAATCAAAATTAAACTACTCTTTAAGTAGTCTTATTTAAATTTTATAGTTTTGTTTATTACTATTTCGTGATGCATATGGTTTTTTTCTAGACTAGTACGGAGTATATCATTTCTTTGTTTGTTATCGTGCCCCTCACGAGTCCTGTATCCCATAGAATTTCACATTCCGCACAGTTCACCGTTTAGTTACGGAAAAGCTTCCATACCAGTCCTCCTTTCTGGTTATTCTGCCGCACCACGCCCGCAACACTCTAGCTCTCAATCACGGTTGAAGGTGACTTTCAGGGTAAGAGACTCATTTGCAAGAGATTTTCTTTGTTTAAAAGCTTGAAAAATCAATTTCATGGTTGGAATAATTAAGGCGTTGTTAATTACATTATTATTTAATTAAGGTGTCTTAGGCTGTATAGTATCAGTTAAGGTGTTGTTAGATTCACGGTACGATTTTTTATTCTTTAATTTTTGTTTCTGCATGTGTTTTTCAATTTAGTTAGATTGTTGCTTGAGATGGTTAAAATCAGGGTCTTTTACTGTTATTTTTAATTGAAACATGATTATTAAAAATTAGGAATAAGAAGGGCAGCTTGCATTCTTGTTCTGCTGAGTGTTGCTTGCTAGGCCATAAAGATAGCAATGTTTGATAAGATATAAATCAGTTTTCCATGATGTAAGTTTTAATGATGGTGTATCCACAGTTTCTACTATTAATGATTTGGCTAGAAAACTATTAAACATACATAATAGTAATCTGTTGGTGTATTTGCATGTAAAGTTGGCATTGATTTTACCAGTTACAATGGTTGGTGTTGAACGGGCATTCTCTTCAATGAAACATAATCCAAAAGGTGGGAATGATGACACATCTATCATAACCCCTGCAAAAGCATTTCTTCTTCATCTGAGTTGTGGTTTGGGCTTAGTTTCTGCATTCTGGGTGGCACACTGTATATACTCCACCGGCATCGTTTCAAATCCTGCTCAAACCCTCCGTCTAATTTTGGTATTCGTTTTAAGGTCATAACTTTTTACTACAATATATATTTCCCTCACTAATCTAATTATTGAATGTGGTTTCACAGGTAACTGAGTCTCCAGTAGTACTTATGCTATATAGTCTCTTTCGACATGATCCAGATCAATGCTCTGTAAGCTTACATGAACTAGTAGTATGTATTTTTTTAATTTGAAATTTGATTGAATTCTTTCTTTTTGAATTCAAACAGTACTTCAAAGCTCTGGGACGAGGTTTATTGGGTCTTCCTGCTGGTTAGTGTTAAAGCAAATGCTACTATGCTAGAGTATTTTCTCAATCCATACACTCTGATTAGAGATAATGTATTTTGTGTATCAACAGAGTATTATATATGTGTGTGTAGTTTTTTTTCTGATCTGGTGCATGCACACTCGACTGGATTTATTATGCGAAATAAAAGCAAAGTCTTGCTAGTTCATTGCATGTGTTATCTTTGCTTATTGTTTTCCAGACTTGGTGAGGTGTGATGATATATATTTTTAATTTTCTTTATAGGAAAATTCAGAGGGATCATTCTTGAATTTACAATCCAATTGAGAAATTGTGAAGTAAAGTGCAAGAGCATATGTATCTCTCTAGCTTTGTATTCATACCATGTTAGCCCTTGTGCTATATATTTATTTCATGTCTATTACTCTATTGCATTTAATATCCTAATGAATATGGGAAGTTGACTCTAACTTTGATGATTACACTACATAAGTACTTGCCTTTTCATGATTCCTTGTTCTTTAAGTCTCTAACTTTGAAGTTGACTTGATGATGATACTACATGATGAGCCTTTAAGTTTTAAATTAGGAAGACTAAACTCATGTTTGCAAGTATACATTACAACTGAGTTCTACTCTGAAATGATAAACACTAAAATCTGTAGAATACTTCTACCCTTAGAAAACCAACAAACTTGTTCTGTTGTTTTCCATATTTACACATTATTCATCTGGTTAACAGCACTGTTTGTGTATTTCCCTGTGGGAGTTTATAGTTTTATATTTACAGGAGCTGTTTTAATTGGGTCTGGAGCAATTATTTTGGGAGCACCGGTTGGTTTTCAGTATGTAGCAATACAAATCCTTTATTATTTACTCTTCTGATACGAACTGATGAATAGAAGTCTGAAAGTCAATGGCTCAAAAATCACTCGTTCTTTCCTGCACTTACTAATTTGTTAGTGTTCAGTTTTAACTATGCTTTCATCATGTTAATTAACAGGTACTTCAGCGTGACATTGTATTGGTCTCTTCTTATGTCAGTCCTCACGGTAAGTATGTATACATATTCAACTTGATATGCTTTTGAATTCACTATTTAACAGGTGCAACTATTAGCTACGTTGCACCGACACAGATACAAAGATATGGGGACACTAAAGATGGACATGGAAAAATGGCATTCCTCTAAAATACATGATACTGACACTAGGGTATATTTATAAATATTAAAAAACTCATCTGTTAATATGTAGAATAATACAAGAATGCTTTATATGCATATAAATAATTTATGTAATAAATAAATTCACTATTTATTTTTTATTCGAAAGGAAATTATTATAGAATATTGCAATAAATATATACATCCAAACAGAAATAGTAAAACAATGTCAAATTAAAATGATGCTTAATAGTTTACCTTTTCATAATTCTACAAAAAAATCAAGTATTATCTATAACTCAAGTGCTGCTATATATTCCAATCCTACATTTTCATATTCTCATATACAATCATCTCCACCATCCTACATTTTCATATACAATCATCTCCACCACCCTACATTTTCATATTCTCATCATAATATAGAGAAGTGTTCCTCGACAGAATAAGAAAATTGTTATAGATTAAAACTGAATTGTGTACACATAGACACACCTTTATTTTTGTGTACACATGTGTCTTATTTTAGATAAATTATGAAACGGCCCAAAAATGTATTGATATGGCATACGTGTCTTTTAGGTGTGTTGTGTCTTTTACAAGGATACAACACTTTAAACGTCTTAAATTAGATGTGCTCGTGCATCTTAGCTTAATACACAAGTGAGAAGAGGAAGAGTGTGAGCAGAAAAAAAATGGCAAGAGAAAAGAGTGAATGTAATTGATGATTTTTTATCAGAAAAATAGAAAAGAAAGAAGAGAGTATATTTAAAAAGAAAAAAGTACCCACTGTCCATTGAGATGTTAGAGGCCAATGTGTTTTAGTAGAAACATGTAGAAAGTTGTCTCCCGCCATTTCTTTTCAGAAGAGAATAAAGAACATGTGAATCCCACATTAATTTTGCACATCAAAATTTTCTTCTAAGTTCTAACCAAACACGGATCGTCTCCCCCTTCTTTCTTTTCTATATATATGGAACAAACAAAGCATAAAGGTGTGTATATATTATGATTTGTCCTCTGTTTTGGTCTAATACAACAACATTACCCCAGTGCCGCAAAGGCCCCTAGCCTCCCACCTATGGTGAGGTAGGGGGATCGGATGTACACAACCTTACCCATGTACTAAAGCACAGAGAGGTTATTTCAGGATGACGCATTTTGAAAATTGTGTCGAAAATTGCATGGATTGACTGTTGCTTCATGACAAAGAAGCGCATACAGTTTAGTGAGTCATTTTGCTTTATTCCATCATTTTCTCAAGCCAAAAAATAGCGAGTCTTGTGGTCTAATCTTAGCAGAAATTTGTACATATATGAAGATTTGTCCTCTGTCTTGGTCTAATCTCTTGTAACTCTTCTCCTGCAATGCTGATGACAGTTTGTTCCAGCAGCTTCTGTGTTTGGGTTGTCGTTGTCTGATTGGCACCGTATATTTGCTCAAACAAAGTTTGTTCATACAACTTCATTTCCTGATTTGTTTTGATATTAGGAGTTGGTTTTGGAGGGGAAAAGGAGGGGAGTTAAATTTTCATCACAAGGAAAAACTACTTTAACCTGATGATAATTAATTTATACAAGGCTATAATCTCAATGTCTCAGTCATTTATTTACTGTCATAAACTATATATGCAATTTTTGTATGTTTAAAAATTAAAAGTAACTGCTCCCTCCGTAACTCTACAAAAACCAACATCTTTTTATGGAAACTATTCATATGTAATTCTATTGATGTGTAGACCAAATAAAAACATAGACTATATGATCTGCTTTCCTGCCCACGGAGCCATTATTGGAGCATGGTTTGGTGCCTGGCCAATGCCACTTGATTGGGAAAGGCCATGGCAGGTATATTTCTCCCTAAGCAACTACGTCACTCTTTTGAGACAATTGTGTTAAAATACCCTCTTAATCGCCCAATCAATATTTTTTCACCAGTCATGTGAATAGGTTTTGAACATTTTCTTTCCCAAGAGAGTGTCCATATCATTCCTCATTTTCTCGTGTCTTTTTTATTTGGAGGTTTAATGATTCGGGACCTAATAGATATGTGGAATATGAATTTCAGAGGATCTAATAACTGAAAGCTATCAATTTAGAACCAGAATTGGTGTATATAGCAAATCAAAGACTAAAAGTTTATGTCTTGGTAGATAATCTATATCTTGGGTCTTGAATCAATATGCCTCCGTTACTTTTACAATCCCATATATTTTTCTTCCCCAATTAACTCTCGTTTGATGCCTGTGAGTTTTATTATTTAGGAGTGGCCAATTTGTGTAAGCTATGGATCTATTGCTGGTTACTTGGCAGGACTGGCTGTTTCCATGGGTTTTGTCCTCTTCCATAACCCCTACCACCACCCGCATATTAAAGGAGAGTAATTCATTTTTAATATCTTTGGGCCTTCTTGGCAGAAACTTCTGTAGTATATGTCTTTATGCATGCTTTCTACAGAAACCTTTGGGCCTTCTTGGCTTTGGTTCTCTATAATTTATGTGGCAGCTAGTTGTTCTTTTGTTCTTTATGTGCCTCTGAATGTTTACTTATTTAATGATAAAATAACAAGCACAAAAGCAATGAGATAACCTAAAATTATAATAGGGTGAGACAGATATATGAGAGATCACCAAACAATATGAGGATGTTTTCTTTTGTACTGAAATTGCTGGCTTGGTCTGATCTGGTCTGGTCTGTCTCTGTGTACTTTATAACTACGGAAGTCTGGTCTGATGTGTGATTGAAAACAGACTAAAAGAAAACATCCTGATTGTTTGGTAACCTCGTAGAGTCGTAGATGTAGACTGTTCCTGGCTTCGTGCTATTGAAATCATAATTGAAGCTAGAAAAATATGAAAACTAGACCTTGAAGTAAAATAAGCATATAAGTTCGTTTCATCATCCCAAATTCCCAACAAGTACCAAAAGTGTTGATTTGACCATCCATGGAAGAACGAACACTTCCCTAGAGCTCTGCCATATTGCCTGAACCTCTTCCCAGCTCAGGATTGATCCTCTTTGTCAAAGTCAGTGGTTCGGGAAGGACTGAAGGAGGTGAGCTGCGGCAATATCAGTGCAAAAATGAATCCCTGTTGCTGCTGCTTTCTTAGAAGTTGTTGTAGCACCTAGCTTGTGGGCTCAACTATACTCTTTAGTCTGACATATTCTACACAGTACATTGAGAGGCACACATAGCCTCCGTACCAAGCGAAGCTGGTGGGGACAGTTAAGCATGGACCGGTTCCGGTTCGGGCCCGGCCGGGCCTCGGTTCAAGAAGGGGAGGCCCGGAACCGGCCCGGGTAACCCCCGGGTCCGGGCTGGGCCTCGGTTCTATTTTTTTTTTGGCTTTTCCTAGTTAACCTCCAACCCTCCCCCTCACCCCCAAACCAACCCTAACCACCTCAAATGGCCCAAAATACCCAACCCAACCCAAAAACTTAAAAAAAAATTCAAAAAAAAAAGGCCTGGCTCGGGCTCGAACCGGCCGGGCCGGTTCACCTTTTGAAGGGCTTGAGCCCGAACCGCCATCCCACCGGGCCCGGAACCGGTTCACCGGGCCGGGCCGGGCCTGCCCAGTAGCGGGCCGGTCCGGTTCCGGCCGGTTGGTCCGGCCCGAGTCCACCCCTAGGGACAGTAATGAAATTTGAGAAATTTGTTGAGGGAGAGCATTATCAATACTCGGGAAAATTGTAATAAAATATCATGAACATAAGGCAAGAAGAACAATCTATTTCGAGCATGTCCATCTCAAGTATGAACAGTAGCCCGGAGGGTTAATTAGTTTATGGTCGAATTACTAAACTATGTCGGGCCGTCGGGGTTTTGTCGTGTTGAATGACTTGAATGTTAGACTTAGTTTTGAGAATTCAGATGTGATTTAATTGTATCAAATTGAACTGAAATTGAAATGTGTGCATTTCATTTTGAATTCGATAGCATTTCTTTCAAAGCATATAAAACTGAATAGAATCACAACTGAGAAACTCTGAATAAAATCAATCTGAATTAAAAATTCAGTGAAGTTTTAATATCTTTATATAATATAAAGTAGCAAAGTTGCTACTGTTTTTGGAGGTAAAAATCCCGTCTGATTTAGGGGCATAATTGGAAATCTTTATATAATATAAAATAGCAAAGTTGCTATTGTTTTTGGAGGTAAAAATCCTGTCTGATTTAGGGGCATAATTGGAAATATATAATATAAAGTAGCAAAGTTGCTACTGTTTTTAGAGGTAAATTTTTTGCCTAATTTAGGAGCATAATTGGAAGTCTATATGCAATGTTTTATAATGATGTCCTGAATTATTCATTTAACTTATTAATTAAAGGGGTTGCTAGGCGCAACCCCATTCTTACTAAACGTAACCCCAGCATGATCATTTTGAACTTTTAATCATTAAATTAAAATTAATTACTAAGAAGTATGATAGAGTATATCTAGAGAGAAGTGCAATAATATGCTTCAATAGAATGAATTTGTAACCCTTATAACTACTCCCAAGGGGAGTATTTATAGAGAAAATACGGGCTGGGCTCCCAAGCCTTGGGCTTGGGAGGCCCATTTACAACTGGACCGCTACTGGGCCGAATACAAAGCCACTAATGGGCTGTACAAATGAGTAAGTGTAGAATCCGGTTCTGTGAGGTCTTCGTGGCCGATGAGGGCGTGGCCGACGAGGGCACGGCCGACGAGGGCACCCGGGTTCCTTGGCTTCAGGACCATAATCTGAGTTGGCACCTTTTCGGCCGACGGGGGTCCCTTGGCCGACGTGGGGCCGTGGGCGCCACTCAGTGTCTTGTGCTTTCTGTTCTTCTGAGTGTGTGGGTCCGGGGGCTCAGACCCATATACTCCATCAGGAGTCCCCACTCTCTAAGCTGAGACACAGTCGAAGTGAAGGATAGTATATTCCCGTGCTTTGGTGCTTTTGGCCGATGCAGGCACTCCCAGGTCGTTAGCTGTTGCGGCGTTGGCGTTGTTTCCATTTTGATGATCCTGTTCTTGGCCGTTACCTGCTCCTCGCTGTGGACGGGGAGGCCGTTGTTTCCTAGGTGTGTTCGTTTGGGGACGATGAGAGTCCTGCTTCGACGGTGGCCGTTGAAGGCACATTTTCCCTTTCTTGGACGTTGATGGTTGAGGTTTGCATTTGGGCCGATGAGGCTGTTGAGGTTGAGCCTTGCTTTGAGGACGATTGTGTCCTTTCCTTTGGGTGGCCGGTAAGGGTGCTTGCGCACTCTTTTTGGCCGTCGCTGACTGGCTTTCGTGTCCCTGGCCGAAGAGCCCATTATGGTTAACTGTTGGCAGAGGACGATGAATGTCCTTGCCTTAGGTGGCCTGTTGGCCGTTGCTGATGATGTTATGTGCCTTTGGCCGTTGTGATACATGGACGTTGTGGCCATGCTTCGTGGTTACATTCGTGTTTGTATTTTTCCCTTTGTTTTGTTGAGGCCGATGTAGTCCCCCAGTCCCCCACTGCTTCAGGGCGAAGAGTGTGAGGGGTGAAGGAGTCGCTTCAGTTCCCGGCCGAAGCGGCCTCTCCGTAGTGCCCCTGAATCCAACCCTCATGGCGATTTTCTGGCCAAGGTAACCCTGTGGGAGAAACCTTGTGCGTAGATCGCTTGTAAAGAGTTATCATCAAGGGTCGTTATGAGGGGCCGATGGTTGTGGGTTCTTTGTTCCTTTGGTTCTGTGACCGTTACGGGCGTTCACTACATTCCTGGCCGTTGCCATCTCCTTCTTGTTGGCGTTTGTGAACTTGGCACGCAAAAAGGCCGTTGTGGGCGCTTGCTGGCACTTGTGAAGCCGACAGGCGTATAGGCCGTAGAGTCTGTTTTGCCAGTGGGCTCTTGGTATGCAGGTTGGGCCTGGCCCTTTGGTGACGTGGTGGCCTCCCATTGGTGGCCGTTGATGTGGCCATTGGGAGGGTGCCACGTGTAGTGACCGTTGGGTGGGGGGTTCTATAAATACCCCTCCCCCTCCGACGAGAAACCTTATTTGCATTCTGAGTTGTCGAAGTGCTGGCCAAATTTCTAGAGGGATAAACTCCCAAGCTCGTTCTTCGTGTTCTTCGTGTTCAAGGTTAGTGTTCATCGCAATCTTCTGTACTTTGCATACTTTGCTTCCTAGGCTAGTGATCTAGTGTTAGGCGCTTGAACACCCTTAGATCCTAAGTTATTCCCCTTAGGCTCGTAGTAGTTGTTATGATGAAGAGCTTGAACGAAGACTACTATCCGTACGACGACCAGCCCTCCACTAGGTCACTCGACTATGAGGTGCTTGAGGAGTTCGAGGAGGAGATACAACACTTGAGTCCTTACAAGTCCGGAGAGCCGGTGGACGACGAAGTTGAGGACGAGGAGTCCGCCTCGTCTTCAAAAGGTGAGGACGCAGGTGCGTCCCGAGTGGTGGACGGGGCGTCCACTTCCGCTGTTATTCCATGCCCGAGACCGGTGTCTGCCGTGAAGGGAGCAGATAAGCCGGAGAGAATAAGGAGGCCGAAGAGTGGACCGGGCGTCTCCTACCTAGATCTCACGAACATCTTCCTGATCAAGCCGGAGAGCAGTGCGGCCGACTACTTGGTTGCCCAGATGTACGTGGGGCCGTTCGGGCGGGTTAGGGCACCCAGGCCGACGGACCATGTTCTTCATCCGCCACCGGGATACTTTGGAGTATACCCGATGAGTTTCGCCAAGGGGCTGAGGTTTCCCCTTCACCCCTTCATCACCGAATACCTTGACATGGTGGGGCTCCCTCCGGCTTTGCTGACGCCGAACAGCTACTCATTGATGGTGGGGTTTTTGCTCCGCTGTGAGGAGCTGGGCTACAGGCCGACGACGGCTCTGTTCATGAATCTGTATCAAATAGGCCGAGGAAGCCACAAAAATTGTGCGGCCTATGCTACCCTCCAACAGCTGCCGAAGAAGAGGAGCTTCACGGACTTGCCTTCGTCCATTCATGGGTGGAAGAGCAAGTTCGTTTTTGTATCCCTTGGTGTGAATGGCACCGAGTTTCCCTCTCTCGGCCATACCGGGAGGTTCAATCTGCACGACCCGCCGAAGAGTTCTATCTTGGACGCTCAGGTGGAGGCGTTCTTGGAAGGGGGGCCGAGGAGCGTGAAGGATTATATCACTGAATACAAGATGACCGCCCTCGGCTTCTTAAGATATCATGTTTATGGCGACAAGCAGGACGATATCCAACACTGGCCGAGGATGACCACCACCTTCGAAGAGGCCGACGGCCCGGATTTGGGCATTCCTGCTGAGGCCGATGGTAATTCTTTCTTCGGCTTTCTTCCTTTATGATTTGTTCTTTTGCCATGCTAATCTGTTGTTTTCCTTTGTGTAGATTTTGCCATGGATCGTCGTTCAATCATGGCTATTGCCAAGGCCAAGGCGGCCGAGGAGTTGGCTGCAAAGGCGGCCGAGGCGGCCAGACGTGCCACGGCCGAGGGAGGCGGGGCTACTGCTGGTGCGGCCCCAAAGCCTGCTCAGTCCAAGAAGAAGAGGCCTCCCACTGACGGCCAGAAGAAATTGACCGAGGCCAGCCTGAACGTCACTAAGAAGACGAAGAGGGCACCGTCTCCTTCCCAGGCTACTGAGG